GGGCTCGTCCTTGGGAAGTCGGTCTCCCCTGAGCAAGCGGTTTTTCAAGATGTGGTAATTTGCATTAGTTAGGTCGTACGGGGGATTATGGCATGAGCTTACAGTGTGATACCCAAGCAGGTTCTTCCTTCTGTACGTAATACGCTGACCTGGCTGGAAAGTGGTTGTAGGCCTTTTATGCTTTTCCATAGGTAGATGTTTTTCCTTAGGAAACTGGACAGGACAATTATGAGCAAGCGGTTTTTCAAGATGTGGTAATTTGCATTAGTTAGGTCGTACGGGGGATTATGGCATGAGCTTACAGTGTGATACCCAAGCAGGTTCTTCCTTCTGTACGTAATACGCTGACCTGGCTGGAAAGTGGTTGTAGGCCTTTTATGCTTTTCCATAGGTAGATGTTTTTCCTTAGGAAACTGGACAGGACAATTAGAATAGCTGTCAGGCCAGTGGGACAGGCAAGTAGAAGGCCCAAAGTTAAATTCCTGCGATCTTGGAAACGTTGGCAGTTAAGAAATGAGAAACCCTAAGTTAGTACCTCTCAAAAAATGATAGCACTAAAAAGTCAATGGTTGTCAGTTATGTTTTGTAGGAGGTCCTGTGCATTAGTTTAGCTTGGGAGCAACTCTAGTTAAACTTCCTTTTCTTCCTCAAGAAAGAGCTGAGGGAATCGTGGGAAAGCTTGGGGAACACCCTGCGTAAATTTGAAGTAGGGGCAGTGAGGGGGGGGACTGGGACAGACCTGTAGCTCTGTGTAACGGTGCCTGAGGAGATCCACATAGGTGTACGTACATAGTAAGAAAAGGAGGAAATAGACCTTCTGCAGAAGAGATTGGGTTAAATCAGTTCTGCTACTTACCGAATAAATTTTCTGTTGCCAAAGAATGCCTGGCTCCTTAAAATAGCAAAATAGGTACAATTTGGGCAAACCTGAAAGGATTGCCTATGTCCTTTACAAAAAAGGAAGCTTTCTTTTGTGATTATTGGAAAAAAAAGCATGTTTGAGAACATGATGGCCCATGATCTTACCCAGCCTACAGACATTCACACATGAGAAATACTGAAGCACGTTGCCATAGACTGATTTTAGATTACTTTCTGTGGCTAATATGAATAAAATCTGTTCCTTTATCACCTGACAGGATGGAGGATTCATTAATAATTTTAAGTTTAAATTGCTGAAGTAATGAACTAAGGCTTCCAAATACATTTTATTTCTAGGGGCTTACTAACATCAAGCTTAAAGTAGAATGGTTCTTGCTATTAATGTATTCTACCTGCTTGCGCTTACTCCTTTCTCCCCTCTATCCTGCTGTGGGCTCCAGAACACCTGCTGTAATGGTTGGCCTCTGTGGGGCCAGACATGTCTTTTGTTGTGCAGTCATTCTTGGTAGGCTCCATTAAGAATTTTTATTTTATATTAAGTGAAACGGAGGCACCTCTGATTCAGATCATAGCTTCTAAACAGGTTGCATCACAGTTATCCTGAAGTGTATCTACCCTTCCCAAGCTTTGCATGAGGTAAGATGATTGTGAGTAGATACACCTCTCCCTAGCATCCTGGGGAATGAGAAAGGTAAAGCTGCTGGACTCGTTACAGCTAGGAAGCAATAGAGAAATCTGGACTAGAAGTTTTCTCTTGGGAAGTCTGCCTAAACTTGAGGGCAGTCAAACATTTTGATTATCATGCAAAGGGTCTAGGTTTAAGAATCAGAGGAATTGATTATCCTTCTCTGGAGCAATGATCTCCCTTCAGAAGGCTGAGGGGAATTTACTGGTAGTAGAAAGATTTATGGAACCTCTGTACATTTCCATGTAGTGTGAGGCAGGCTTATATAATTGTCGCTTCCTGACAGTTTGTTTCTACATAAGAAATTGAAGAAACAAAGTAGATAAATTACTTGCAGTAAATGATCTTCCAAGGTATCATTTGTGCTTCAGGGTGCTGTTGGATAACTCTCAGAAGCTATTGAGAAAAAAGAAAAGGCTAAAGAAGTGTTACTGCAGTGCTAGGATTGCTAAGAAGCATAGTTAAAGAAATTTGAAGTTTTAGTTGCAGATGCCTGTGCTATTTGCTTTTCCTTTCTGTAGATGTACTGTGATTATTCCATTGCTGCTTTTTTTTTTTTTTTTACTGAGCTATTTTGTGAGGACAGAATTCTTTTTTCAACTAACAACAACTTGTGATTCCTCGAAAATAGAATTTGAGTTTTGGTAATTAGTATGTGAGGAATTCATTTTGGAACTGTAGTTACTTAGGCCAAATCCTTGCACCTCAACTTATAAATTATCCTAATGGTTTTTATTGTTCATAAGTCTTTGCTTTCTCTCCCTCTTTCTGGGGACTTGATTAATTTCTCATGACTTGATTAATTTCCTTTTATGTGGGTGTGAAACTGAAGTTAAATCCATGGTTATGTATTTAAGGTGACAAGGCTTTTATTCAGATGTTCCAAGGTATTAATTGAAACATCATTTGGACATAGATAAGCTTGATAATAGTTGTGAGCAGCAGAAGATGAAGGAAAGGTACAAAAGGAATAAACAGATATTGTTGCCTGTGACTCCCTTCCCTCCCAGGACAGAGCTGCCTCACCAGTTAGTGAGGACTGGGAGAGGAAGAGTTCCCTCAGGTTTGCTTTACTGGCTCTTGTTCGTGGGGTGAAATGAGTCAGCGGCTCAGTCTAGCAGGGAGAACTCAAAACTGACTTAACTCTCATCCCGTTTGAGGGATCCTAGTGAAGATTTTCAGTTTTAGCAGGAAAATTATGAGCTTGTCTCCCAGGGTGTCTGGGTCCTCTGGCTTATCTTGATATGGTGGTTCTTCTGATCTTTGTACTTGTCGGGTGACCAAAGACTTTATGCCAAAATCTTAAGGAAAATAGTGACTACATGATTTAGGAGCCCTGACTCAAGAAAATCCGGGGTCTCTGTTCAAAGTATCCTTAATGCCACTTAATTCAGAGGAGATGCTGACTGCAGTTTGCTTTACTTGGCACTTAACCTCGTCCCCTTTTGTTCAGAGCCTGAGAACAGAGAGGAGTTGCTTTCCATGTTGTCCCGCAGTTGTGGAAGGAGGAGGAAGACTTCGAAGCATCCTCTTGGCAGTGTGAGGCTAGCTGCTGGTGTGGACGCTGACTGAGGAGTGACATTGCTGTGTCACACCTCCTTCAGGTGGCTCGGATGGGAAGCACAGTAGGAGACAGAAGGGAACAGAGAAACTAAAACAAAGGCTAGGGCCTGCAAGAGCTGTAAGGGAGATCCCCCAGAGGAGAGGGGATGCAGAAGAGAAGAGAAGCAGTAAAGTGTCTTTGCCCTCTTGGATCTGATAATATCGTGGTCACCACAGGAGTTTAATTTTTTTAGAGTAAGATTTGTGGTACTTTTTCTACCACTTGTATGTATTCCTAGGTATTTTAAAAACTTTTCTTTCATTGTTTAAAAAATCCCTTAATTAAAAAAAATTCATTTGTGCAGAAAAGAAACAAAAGTAAATGTTGCTTTTCCAGATTATGTAATTTAAAAAGCAAGTTTCTGTCACTTATTTCAAGGGCCTAAGCTGTTTGATTAGACTGCAGTCGTTGCTTTGCTGAAAGCTGTTAGAAAGTGATGCAAATGTTTTCTGGTTTAGGAACAGCCGTCTTGCATCACATTTTAGCAAGGTTCAGAGCAACATTGCCTCAGGGCTGTCACATCTGGGAAGTGATGCTTCCTGAAAGTCACTCTAAATTTGTGTGAAAGTTGTACTAATTCTATGTGCAACAGTACCATCTTCCATCAGAGATGTTATATAACAGATACATATAAAACAAATTATACTAATTAACCAATTTGTTAAGCAGAGATCCCGTTCTTCAAGTGACTTCAAAGCATGCACACGGGAAGTGACTTGTCCAACATAGTGGCTAATCTTGAAAGGGATTGAGGAAGTCTGATTTCTAAGCCTCTGCTTTAGTTGCTAGGTTTTATGTTACCTCTGTTCATTGTTGACATGATATAAATGTAAATTTTTTAAAAAACCCCCTAGATTTCAGTTTCTCATATTTTCTGCTTCTTTCATCTGTTCTGCAGTATAGACATCGTTAGCCTGATATTTCCAGTCAAGAGTTCTTAATACAATTTACATGAATATGATTAATATGGCCTGTACTATAGAGATGCCCATTTTGTGTAAATCAGGATAGATATAATTAAAAAGCTTATCTACTCCAGACTTCCTCTTCAGGGTTATCTGTTTTTATGCAGTCAGGATCTCATTTTCCTGCATCACCTTGGCTTCTCACTAAATGAATGGCATTTAAAAAAAATTGGTTTAAGTCATTAACACATCCTCCATGTAAGTATGTGTAGAGGTGAGAGAAATTTCCTGCTTTGAGCATGTCATCTGCTGTCTTAGAACAACCTTACACAAGTTCATGAGGTAGTTCTTATATTAAGTCATACTTTTTGGTGTACATACCTGAATGCTGAACCCTCAACTTGCTTAAAAATCTGTTATGAAGATACATTTTCCTGGTGTTAAACCTTGTAAAGGTTAATCTCTTTAAGGTGTAAGTTAATTTGTGGTGTGTATTTAATGTGCTAGTCCTTAAACTATAAAATTTGTGTGGTTTTTTTGTTTTGTTTTTTTCACAGTTTTTGATGATGAAGAAGAAAGCAAGCTGTCTTACACAGAAATTTATCAGGAGTACCAAGCTTTGGTGAGCATTATTCACTATTTGTGGTAGATTTCTAAGAAATATATTTAAAATGTTAAAGTAGTATTTAGATGAACTTCTAATTATGTTATCTTTGTTATTTAGAATTTTCTAATATTGCCTGGTACATGTTATTTAGAAATTGTTTGACTTATAGTTATCATATGCATTTTTATGTTTAAACACCAGATATGGAAAAGAGAAACCTTAACACTCAGTCATACCTCTCATGCTGTGTTACATATTTTTCATTAAAACTAATATATTCACTAGCTAAAATACTGTAATTACAAGCTTGATAATCTTCATATTTTCTGTGAAGTTAAAATGACAAACAGTATGATGTCTGAGAACATGTATAACTTGTCTTTTGTTCACTAATGAGTCTGGTAATCTTTTTAATTAACTTTCAAGTATCAGAAGAAAACTACTATAGATTTTTGGGGCATGCATAAAACGCCTATAAGCCAATGCATGCAGATTTCTAATTTTTTTTTTTTTTAACAAGGCTTGTTAATACTTGATATTAAAAAGCATCCGTTGAATAAATACAGCCCAAAATCCATTTTTGTTCTGACCCGGAAGGGTTTCAGGCACACAGGCTGAAGCCTTTTACCCACAGGGCAAAAATTATGAGGAATACTAGCCAGGAGTCTGGGGAAAAGGTAGAGAAGTGAGATTCTTGGCAACTGAAGAAACTAAATTAAGTAGTAATCAAATTTAGCAATAAAAATGCTTATTTTGAACAGTTAATGAAAGTAAGTAAAGCCTGACATCTCAGAAAAATCAGTTATGCTATTGCAATGATTTTCCTTTGAGTTTAAAAAATACAATTATGAAAAAAATTCATATGATTCTTAAGGAAAAATTTATTGGAAACGAAGGCTTGTACTTTCTTACAGGTTGAGAAATTATTAGAAGACTATCTTAAAGAAGTTGGAATTAATGAAGAGAAATTTCAAGAAGCTTTTTCATCTCCTCTTGCAAAGACACACACTTCACAGGTAAGTTTTGCTTTTTTTTCAGTAATATAATAGCAGGGTGGAGATGAAACTTAAAAAAGTTTTCTTGTTAAAACTGTAACTTTCTAAAACATAATGTGTTTGTTTATATTATGAACTTTGACGCGAAAAATATGCATCTTGAAAATAATGACATATATTTGTGTGATGTCAGACACCTTTTGAGATTCATCTTCTATGCTTTGTGTTTTCTAAATACAAAACTCTAAGGTTATGGTTTCTGCCACCTTTATTTGTATATTTGTCAGCTTTATGTTAGTCTTTAGTCCTTTACAGTAGCAGACAAACTGAGAGAGTAAAGCAATAGACATACTCCATAAAATATCTTTTCCTCTGATTTTATTATAAAACAGTAAAATCTTTTAGTCCTGAGAAGACAAGGCATGGTTAGGCAGCCCTTCACCTGCTCAAAGATATTTCAGGATTGTCTCAGGTATACCAGGCAGAGGAGTGAGAGCTTCTGTTGCCAGTTTAAATTGGGCTTTGTTGACATATCTCCTCCTAGACGTGTAGCTTCTAGGCTACACAAGCTTCTTCAGAGTGCATGTTCCTCACTCAAGCTTACAGATTTGTTCAGGAAGTCAAATGAATTGCAGTTGTAAACTTAACTGGGAAACCTTCCAGGACTTGTGATAGTATTATTGTAGACATGTTGATCTAAAGATATAAACCATTAAATTATTTTCTTGACTCTTAGCTCAACTTGTATTGTCTGGAAAAATAGACAGATGGGAGAGTTAAATATTAAAAACATGCTCCACAGAATTTAAATCTTAATGTGATTTCAAGCAGACTGAGATGGTTATGATTTCTCTAGGGTTTTTAATTTTGCGCATTATCTTCCCTCCCACAGGCCATTTTGCAAACAGTGTTGGCAGCAGAAGATTTTAGACTATTTAAAAATATGATGGTACGGAAAAATATTGAAATGCAATTGCAAGCTATTAGCATCATTAAAGAAAGAAATGGTAAGAAGTGGTAAATACAGGGTTTTACTTCTCTTCATCTTTAGCATTCTTTTGGTGACTGCGTGATCTGTTCATAAATTAGTATGGAGTACTGGTTCAGTTCCAGTTCAAGTTAATGCAAAACATTCAGTTGGTTTTACTGGGACTATGATCTCAATACTTGTGTGTCCTTGGCTTGTGTTCTCAGTGACAGCTGTCTGTATTCATTTTTAAAGTAATAGATTTTTCAGTTCTGCTTAAGTTTTTTTATGAAACTTGACTTAGGTTTTTGTTAAATAATTTTCATTATAATTTTGAGTGTTAAAACAATGATACCAGTTCATCAGCAATGACAATATTGCTAGTTTGAATTACGCTACTTGCGTAGCAACAGTGCTGTACTATCTGCCATGCTTACTTTGCAGTTCACACTGTAGAGTTGCCTATGACAAATCCATACAGAAGGCAGAAGTTATGGCCTTCATCATGCTAATACATGCATGCGTTTAAAGAAGAGAAAATAATTTACACCCAGCTCCGCTTCTTTGTTGATGTTTCTGAAAGGATTTTAATCTGCTCACTTCTTTCTTCCATGTTTTTAGCTTTACCATTTTGGTTTTTCTTCTAACTGCATGCGTGTTTTTTCAGAGAATAATTTTTGAATTTCAAGTGTCATATAACAGCTGAATTTGAAAATGGTTCAGTTAGTCATGGCCGAGTTGCAATGGATAGGAAGTGCCACATGATGTTCAATGCAGACTGTGGCTTATGCTTTACCCTTAGATGCCAAAACTTTTGTAGTTCAGAAACCTTTGCCTTTTTGCTAGTAGCAACTTGATGCCCAGGATCTAGAATCTTCTTGGAAACAGTTACAGAGAGGAAGAACTTTTTTTTCTTTCTCCTCTGTGCCTGAATAATGGTGCCAAGTGGAGTACAAAATAATTTTATTTAGAGTAGTGCATAAATTTTGCCATGTTTTTTATAGGTGTGTTGCCTGACTGTTTGACAGAGGGTGCTGATGTATTCAGTGAAATTGAACAAGAAGAAATGAAAATACTGAGGGAGGTTCTAAGGTAAAAAATGAGTCAGTCCTACTTCGTACGTTATTTTAAAATAGAAGTGTGTAGGGCTTAATTCTTCCAGCCTTTTCCAGGAAACTGCCTTCATCTTACACATGACATGGATGTTCTTGTCAAACTCTTACCCAAGAGACAATGAACAATTTTGGGTGGGTATGATCAGCAGTGTTTAAAGACAGAGATTACCGCACTGCCATGATGAACTGTCTTGATGATGCATGGAATGATGTGCAACTTGGAGCCCCATCATTTCCATTCTCCCCTGAGTCTCCAGGCAGACCTGAAGTTAGACGTGGGTTAGATGTCTGTGGACAACAGGAACACAGCAGGTGTAATCCATTCAGGGAGCACCCTAAACATTAAAGCCTTGGAAAGGCAAATTCTACTTTTGCAGTAGGCTTTGTTCCTTTCTACAGCTCCCTTTGTAGTTGTGTTCAATGACTGTTGTTATGATCTTAGAAGAAGTGTGAGGACTGATATGACTTCTGTAGATTCTCCTCCACTCCCAGTTCACACGTATATAAACACAATCTTAAATAATAGCAGATTAATCCATCTGTATTCTGTAAGTATTCCTGCCTGTCTCTAAACCAGCAAATGAAACATGGGATAGATGAGCCCTGGAAATTCTTGCACAAATATTTTTGCACCGGGAAAAAGAGACTGAGGATGGTGGGTTCTGTGTGTTTATCATAATTATTTCTATTAAGAGGGCATTTTCATTTAAGTCATGGAAATATTTTGGACACTAAGAAATTCACATTATCCTGTAATTGTTTTGATAGTCCTCAAATATTTAAGCAGTGCTAAATTTACCTGGAAGTCACTGATACAAAGGATGTCTTGAGTATTTACTCATATTTTGTGTTACAGGAAATCAAAGGAAGAATATGAAGAGCAAGAAAGGAAAAAGACTGAAGAAGTGAGTAGCTTGCCTTTCCATATGAGTTATGCTGATGATTAAGAAAGGAAGGTCATGCTTGACCAATCTGATCTCCTTCTATGACCAGGTGACCCACCTAGTGGATGAGGGAAAGGCCGTGGATGTCATCTGCTTGGACTTTAGCAAGGCCTTCGACACAGAGTCCCACAGCATTCTTCTAGAAAAGCTAGTGGCTCATGGCTTAGACAGGAACACCCTTTGTTTGATAAAAAACTGGCTGGATGGCCGAGCCCAGAGAGTTGTGGTGAACGGAGTTAAGTCTGGGTGGCGGCCGGTCACCAGTGGTGTTCCCCAGGGATCGGTTTTGGGGCCTGTCCTGTTTAACATCTGTATCAGTGATCTGGATGAGGGGATTGAGTGCTCCCTCAGTAAGTTTGCTGATGATACCAAACTGAGTGGGTGTCTTGACCTTCTTGAGGGTAGGAAGGCTTTTCAGAGGGA